TCAATTAACTTCCGACGCCAATGAAATCCTATTTCGGGGGCGGGGTGGGTTATGAGTTAGATTCAAATTCTTCTATAGAATAAAATTTAAATTTTCTTCCTACTATACGTACTACATTTACTTATTTGACCCTTACTCTTACAAAAAGTGTGTCAGCCTTTAAATGAACATATTAAGTATAGTATAAAGTTATGTCTGAAAAAAAGAAGCCGCTATTCCTGTGTGCCCGGAGAAAATAAATATGGAGTTTCCATCATTGGATCGGGAGATCGGATCCGGCCTTCAGAAGTTCGATTGATCAAGTATTAAGGCATATTGAAGAATCTCAAATAACCCGACCTGGGTTTGCTTACCTAGTTTTACCAACACTCGTAGCGAACACCCCTGCCACCTAGCGTTATAATGCCGTACTAAATTTTGACGGTTTGACAACTTCCGTTCGTCTTCATTGAATATGCTTCATTGTAAGCGTGATTGAATTAACATTCGTAATAGAGATGATGCAAATAATTTATTAAAGAAACTGTTTAAGTTTAAAAGAAAGTTAAATGAATTTACAAGAAACAAGCAACATAGAAGTAAAGACAAAATGAAGAATAATAAAAATCAAAGTGAAATCTAATAAAGACGAATATGAAAAAAAATACAGTGACATATAATTACAATAATAACAAAGCATAAAGAAGTAGGCATAATAAGAATAAAAGCAAGATACATAGACTTTTGGCGGTAATTCCCTTCCATAGTTTTGAGGTTTTGATTTATTTTAAATTTGTCTCACATAGATAAAGACGAGGAGGTCAGGGTAAATAAATGAAGATAACTTTAACAAATCCAAAAGACAATGCAAATATTTGTAATGGTGAAAAAAGCTTATGTTTTAAGATTTTAAAAATATTAAGTTATTTCTTTATTTATCCATTTCCATAACATATATTTAATCAAATGAGAAATTACAATGTATTACATAAATTAAAAGGTCCTTGATTTTTTTTCTATCATTCGTCGTTCTGTTCAAAAACAGTAATACTGACAATAGGAGAACTCGAAAAAAGGAAGATAAGATGACGAGACGCATAGATATGTCATGTGATATAAATGGTGAAAAAAGTTGCTAAATGACACTCTTTTGTAAACCGAAAAATTCAAATTAAGCAGAAAATAAAGATATTTAAAATAATTTACATTTGTGAAGGACGTGTAAAGTGCTAATATTCCTTGAAAACGCAGAGCTAAAAGTAGAATTAAGACTATTTTTAGTGAAAGGAAGAATTTGTTGAATATTTTCACTACATATAAAAGATCCATCTTATATTATTTAGCTAAAATCGCCATTTTTAATGTAGCTTGTGAAATATACTTTTAATAATTATATAATTTTCTTATAGGTATATTTAAAATTTCGAAATGAGAATAGGCTTTTGTGGTGGAATGCAATCCAAAACATTGTACACAGTATCACAGTAATACCAGACTAAATTGTGAGGATTCCGAGCGTTGTACATGCTCATTATATATTACTTACGATGTCAGAATTATCGAGTAATTGCAATATCAATATCATATCACAAAAGAGTTAACCATTCCAGATAACTATGGTAAGATTTCTTTTAAGAAAAATAAACAGAACATACATAAATGAAAAAAAAAAAGACTTTCAGATATATCAGTCAAATTTTTTATATTTTTTATTATTATATCTGCATTATTAACTATTGTACGTGGTAATAGAAAATAATCCAAAAGAAGAAAAAAGACTGACATGTTTGGTAAGTGTGTTTCTCGCATTTTCAAAGAAATAGGGTCATTTATAGATATCCATTTTTCCATTACAGCAAAAAAGCTATAACCAAATATGATGTCTACAGAAAAATCAATGATGGGTAAAACGTAGAAAAATGAAATTGACTTCAGTCAGGTTTAAGCCATGATACTTATGATTATTTCGCTTTCATGTCAAATATCCAGCTAGAAACAAAGTCTATAATTATTTTTTAAAAATTCATTCTAAAGACGTCGAAGGTTAGCTTCCCTGCCTCCTTTCCAGTTTTAGCATTTTATAATGAAAGTTATAAAGGTTATTATATTAGGATTTATAATACACACATACTCAAGAATTAAACCACTTTCATGCATAATTAGATAGGATTTCATTGAAGTGCTAGACAATATAAAACAATACTAAGTATACTCAATCTTTTCAACTTTAATTTGCAATTATATATTTTTGCTGCTGTTCATAAATTTATTAACGAAGCATGCAGATTCTCTACTTGATATATTACATTATATTGTATTTGATTGTTTTTTTTTCTTGTATCAGTTGTTTTGTTTTTCTTTAATTTGCATTACATATTGTGAACTACAAGGAAAGGGACTTTGTTAGTTGTACAGAACTTGTTTCCAACCCTTTTGATTTAATCAATAAAACATGTTCAAAACAAACAGCTTTGCAAGTATTATATGAATGACTTTGTTGCCTCCTGATGCATTAACAACTGATAAGATCAAGATCAAATGATAAAGGATCCTATGTTATTATTTCAATTTAAATCGCAATAATTACCTAACATACGTGGTGACTGCATTTGTATGTTTTAGTTTTACTTGAGCCGTTGCCATACAGTTTAAAGAGATACCAGGACAAAAGTTGTTTTTTTTTTTACCAGATACACTGTTTACATTTGTTACGACAGAAGCTTGAGCAGGGAAAGGGTTAAATGTTAAGACAGGCATGACGCTAAATTTTTTTTACCAATTTATATTTAAATTTTTCTTATTGTGCTGTATTTCTCAAACCCCGAGTATGCATGGATTTTGGGTCGGTCTGCATATTTAGGAAACAATTATGACATTGTATGGTCGACGAATTTAATGAATTATTAAAATTGGATCAAAAATGTCTTTACAAATTGAATTTTAGGTTAAAAAGCCTTCCAGTATTTCAGATCAAAATCGTTTACAGATAGTATATCTATACCTGTAGTAAAGTTTTTGGTATTATCGAGAAGAATGTATATTTGAAGAAATCATATATGTTTAGTCTAAACATTACAACGTGATTATGTATTGCATTTACGTAAAAGTTTTTAAAGTCTGTAAGCTCGGTACTACAGTTCAGAAGCAGTGAAGCATGAATAAGTGAATCAATAGTAGAAGACTACATAGAATAGACTTGAAACCAGGAAGTCAAAATGAAGAATTTAAAAGGAGTGGAACCTCCACTGCATTGGTTTAAAAGGATCAATGCAGCTCTGAAGTCGCATTATCTAAAACAATTAGGCAGGATTTTTAAAGAGGTTGGATTGATTCCCAGTATTACTATTTTGATTCTACCATGATAGTCAAAAAGTAGTCTCCTTTTCAAGACCGTGACAACAAACTATCATGAAAAGATGTTAAATATTGGATTTGGTGCTTCATGAATATTTAATTTATGGTGTATTTTTCTAAACGGATCAAATTTCGGGCTGTCCAAGGCTAAAAGAGATATGGAATATTTCGGAAAATCAAGAAATGGTGATTATCGAAGACATAGACCAAGTCAAGAATATTCCCCCGATAATCGAGAAAGAAGTGAACTTCAGAGTTCCAGAAAAACAACTCCCAGTAGCAACTTTGAAAATCTGAATGGGAACGGAGACAGAAATTCTCAAAGAACACGATCTATCGATGGTACGGCCAATGGAAGTGGCCCTAGACATCTGCCTCTTGGTGGTTCGAATGTATTTTATGGATATGGTGGTCCCTTCCGCCTTGATGACGACACCGATGGAAGCTCTGAAATGGATTCCAGCTTGGGTTTCAAAATTCAACCATGGATGGATAAAATTACAGGTGGAACATTCAAGAGGAACTACATAGATCGATATTCATTTCGGGTAAGAATGGAGGGATCTTGTTAGGGTTATTTAATGTTGATTTTTTAAAATGTATTTTTACTTAGACAAAAACATATAGAAATCCTAATTTACCGAACAGTTCTTCTGGTTAAAATTCGTTTCTGATGCTAACACATGTATTATGCATAGAAAAGTAATCCATGTTATGAACTTTAAAGAAAAAGAAAGTTAATAAATAATTGGGGAACGTTACAAGTATAAATCTTATATATAAACTGTATGACGTGAATGTTGAGTAAATAACTTTAAAATCTTCTGTCTTTGCATATATATTGCACTAGCAAGAGGGCTACGAAAGTCTACCAAGAAACCTTCAGATATTCAACCAAAGTCATATTGAATCATAATCAGAAAACGGAATTTGTGTCGTCCGTTCTAATAATAGCTATTTGACTCGTTAATTGCTTCTTTCTAAGAAGACTTAAAATATCTTTTGGGCACACCCTAAGAAGTTGCGTAGTGAATTCACAATTACCTCAAAAGATTGTTTTAATAAGTCTCTAAAACGTGTGTTTATTCTAAATTCTTATCACATGTAGTAATAACACTATATTTAAAAAAAAGATTTTATCTTTCTGACTCTGATTGTTCAACTGCAAAGAACATTCCTTTAAAATCTATAATGATACAAATAGAAAGAAACCCTATCTCAAAAAAGCTGTTTAGATGTTAAACTTTTTACGTTGTTACACTGAAATTTCCGAGAATCCTACTCAGTTAGCTGAATAATCAAACTTTAAAATCTAAAAACATTTCAAAGGAAATGCAGGTAGTTCCCTTCATTTTTCTAACATGAACATACGGCGGGTATACACAGAGGGATGTATGGGTCAGATAGTAATTTATACAATTGTCAGTTTACCACAATCAATCGATGTTTAATTGATTTACTTCATCTTTCTGATTAATATCTATAGATCTGTAGCTCATCATGTTTTTCTTTTCTTATAAAGAATACATAAACGTGAAAAACGTGAACAATTGTGTCTTTCACTAATTAACAATTTTCAATTGCCAATGAGTACATGACTAATTCAATTAGTCATGTACTCATTGGCAATTGAAAATTGTCATGTACTCATTGGCAATTGAAAATTGTTAATTAGTGAAAGACAATTGTATTGTATGAATGAACTTTTGAGGTAATTACTGTTATTTCATTTTGCAACATATTACAAGATTTTAATATGGAATTTTTTTAGGGAGTACTGAATTTTAAAGCTATTCGATATATTAAAAAAAAATGACCATTTCTTGTTAACTTTCGGTAAAAAGGAACCGCGTACACTGCCTTGGTTCTGTCCAACCTATTGAAATATGAAGTACCGTTTTTTCCCCGGTACTTAAGCACCAGAAAGCTAACAATGGTATTAAAAGACAATAATTTTTGCAGATAAATGTGGAGAACAAGTGTCATGCATTATTTAATTTCAAAATTTTAAATCGTTTTATGCGTAGGTTGAAATTAAATCTTTCATTTTGCTATTACACTCAAAGAATTCTGAATTCAACCAATAATTTTTTTAAGAGTCTCGCCTTTATAGAACTAAACTCAATTTTGTTCTCATATTCCCAAAATAAACTCGTGTTTCAGATATTGGGGCATATGCATATTTTTTAAAAAGTTATTTAATAAATGTATATTCAGCAGAGTCTACTTCAAATCATACAAGGAATTTAATTTATACTATCAAAAACCCATTCTCTAAAAGTTCTTGTGACATTGTGGTTTTCAATCATCTTGCATGCAAAGTCACAGCTACACAAAATCAAAAGGGGTCTCGAGCCATATAATGATCTCATAAGAATATTTACAAGGTCTACATTCAATATTTAAAGACCACGAATAGACTGTTATTACGTAAACTCTAAAAACTGTAGAGGTATTACGCGAACATCAAATAAAAACTACAATAGTTAATGAAATCTCGAATAAAACAGAAAAAATGTTGAGAAGAGAAGGAGAGATTTTTTTCCCGCTAAGACCTATAGAATTTTCAAACGAGGAAAATGTTATGACCCACCGCTATATCATCAACAAATTAATTTAAAGTTTTCTGCTAGCCTCACCTCACTCCTTAAATATACCATCTGTATGATGAACGTTTACAGGGCCTTCATAAAACAGCTAATATTTTAACCCTATATATTGAATAAAAGTATAATTATTCAAATTTCAGTTGTAGATGCGATATATCATTTCTTTAATTATTCAAGCAATATTATTCCAAATTAATGCTATTTTTCAAAATTATTATTTTACTGCATGTCAAATATAATAAATAAATAAAATGATATATATATATTTTTTATTATTTAAGCCCTCACTCCACCATGACTCCCAAAACAGGATGGGTGATATTCCTCAGTTTCGAAGCAATGCAAGTTCGACTGAATCCTATACCAAGGGAAGTAAATCAAGAACTATAAAGACAATTTTGCTCATATTTTTGGGGATCATATTAATCGGAATCGTAGCTGGAGTAATCGCATATTTTCTCTCAAAGAAAGGTATTTCTTCAATGTTTAATTCAAACTTTATGTTTTTCTTTATATAAATATTTTCGTAAGCAGTTAATTTTTTACTGACGCATGAAAACCTTTTTTTTTAATTATATGAATGGTTTTTTTTGGTAGAAAGTGGAGATACAACAATAAAATATTGTAAGTATTAATATTTATTCAAGTTAAGCAAATTTTGATTTTATGCACATGTACATTAATTATGAACACTGCTTCACTCCATGGGACCCACATGTAATACCACCTTCGAAGTTTTAGAGGTCCGTGTTTTCTATGCTCCAAAATGGCTTATAATGTACTTTTAATCTTGCATACTGTTCGTTATCTCAGTTTATTTTATACATGTGCTTGTTTTGCACGGTTAGTAAAATAATATTCACACTCTGAATCTTTGTTTTAGATATAATAATAAGACGTACAAAATATGCTATTTCTGTTTTAAAATGTATTTGATGAACATCTTTTGTGCCATAAATTTTAGAACAAGAAGCGTGAAGTATATTATTCATTATTAATTTCATGAGATACTTTTAAACATCATATGTTTCTAAATAAAAGCTGATAGTGAATTTATTTCATCAACAGATGTAGCATCCGGTGAGATAAGTCTAAATGAAATTTTCTATGAAGAGTTGTCAGATACATCTTCTGAAGAATTTAAAAATTTGAGCTCGGAATTCTGCGGTGCAGTAAGTATATCAAGAGTTCTGTTTACACTAAAATATTTATTGAAAACGATAGATATTTACTCTTTGGTAAAAGATAGATTGAAAGTTTTTCTTCACTATTTTATCTTGTATGCTTTATTAAACATAAAATCGATGCTTTAAGGTGTCCTTTCTCCTTTTTAAAGAAATGACTAAAAGATATGTTAATATGATATTTCTGTAAAATTGTATAAAATGTTTAAACGATTGATAAGTGTGTTTTAAATGAAAAAAATTCTTGTACTTTATATTTATGTACCTTGTTTATATAATACGTTTCCTCGTCAGAATATAACCTGAAGAGCCAGATCAGAAATACTTGAATTAGTTGGGGAACACTGCATAGTTAATTTATTTTACATAACGTTATCTCATTCGCAAACGGAACGTTTACTGGTGTATGTTTGTCAACATCCATCTTTTATTATTCGCACAAAATGTAAACTTTAGACTACTTCGAGTCCCACGAAGGGTTTAGAGTACTGTAATTGTAACGAAATTGTAAAACACTCAAGTTATTTATATTATCTTAAGTTTGTTCGCTTCTAGAAAAAAAGATGAAAAGCTATTAAAGGTATAAAGAAAGTTATTTCAATATTTTATCTACATATTATTTTATTGCATGCTTTGCATATTCAAAGAAATTTACATATGTAATAGTACATGTTATTGTAACGTTCGAATTAAAAAGTTGGGTTTCAATTCTTCCTTACTTTTCTAGTCGACATTAATATATTTTTTAAAAAGATTACAGAGGCGTTAAAAAACTCCACGGAAAACGGGGATAAATACAGACTGTGCGAAGTAATAGATTTTAGGTGAGCATCTTTTACAAAAATCTTAAGTTCAAGATAGAAGACAAGACAATTCGCCTAGCAGATTTATTCGAATTTGTAGTAGGATAAAGTGATATAATTTCAAATTTATGATTTATTTGAATATTAACATGTTGTTCATTAAACTGATTAAATAATATTATTTCAGAAATGGGAGCATAAAAGTTCGATTCAAAGTGTATTACGTTTACACAGCTACTTTCATAATCACCAACGAGACGGTCCAGAAAGATCTTAATAACTCTTTAACACCTCAAAATGCCGGTCTCGCACAACTTTCAACTTTAGTTATTATAAGAGTGTCGTTGAAAATCACCGTCGAAGTGGAGACTTTCCAAAAAGTAAACGATCCTGCCGCAACCAGTTTACTACCTTCTACCACCCCACTCACAACAACAGAGACAACTACTGTCCCGGCAGCCACCACGACAACATCGGTCACTACAACACCTACCACATTACCGACCAATGAAACAACAGAGACTACATTAGACGATACTTCAACTCCAACCACTTCTACAACTCCGATGAATACCACAACAGCAGATTATTCAACAACACCAGAAACTGAAACTGCAGAGACAACAGAGGAATACGATGCCACGACCGAGGAAACACAATTAAACATTACAATAACAACATTAACAGCGGAAAGCACAGCTGACACCAAACCAACACCAACTACAGAAAGTACCATACCAGAGACCACAGAAAGTAGTGCTGAGAATACCATAGCAGTGAGCACTCAAACAGAAAGTACAACAGAAAATACAATACCAGTGACCACTCAAACAGAAAGTACAATATCAGTGAGTACTCAACAAGCAAGTACAATATCAGTGATCACTCGACCAGAAAGTACAATACCAGTGACCACTCAAACAGAAAGTACAATACCAGTGACCACTCAAACAGAAAGTACAATACCAGTGACCACTCAACCAGAAAGTACAATACCAGTGACCACTCAAAGAGAAAGTACAATACCAGTGACCACTCAATCAAAAAGTACAATACATGTGACCACTCAAACAGAAAGTACAATACCAGTGACCACTCAAACAGAAAGTACAATACCAGTGACCACTCAACCAGAAAGTACAATACCAGTGACCACTCAAACAGAAAGTACAATACCAGTGACCACACAATCAAAAAGTTCAATACATGTGACCACTCAACCAGAAAGTACAATACCAGTGACCACTCAAAGAGAAAGTACAATACCAGTGACCACTCAAACAGAAAGTACTATACCAGTGACCACTGTAGCCGAAAGTACAATACCAGTGACCACTCAAACCGAAAGTACAATACCAGTGACCACTCAACCAGAAAGTACAATACCAGTGACCACTCAAACAGAAAGTACAAAACCAGTGACTACTCAACCAGAAAGTACAATACCAGTGACCACTCAAACAGAAATTACAAAACCAGTGACCACTCAAACCGAAAGTACAATACCAGTGACCACTCAACCAGAAAGTACAATACCAGTGACCACTCAAACAGAAAGTACAATACCAGTGACCACTCAACCAGAAAGTACAATACATGTGACCACTCAACCAGAAAGTACAATATCAGTGACCACTCAAACAGAAAGTACAACTCAAACGACAATGAGCTCAACAGAGAATATTAAGCCTACGACCACGGCAGTAAAAGACATGACAGATATGTCATCCACCGACAGGACACCTTCGACAACAATGGCAACAGAAAGAACAACAGATACGAAGTCATCAGTCGAGATGACAACTACAACAGAAACAAAAAATACAGGAACTAATGCAACAACACAGACCATAATAACAACAACGAACATTATATCTATGGTACCATCAGTCTCTATAGTAGACACAACTTTAGATAGCACAGCAAACTTTACAATAAAAAGTACATTTGAAACTACGACTGCTGTAACCGTGGAACATACAGCAGGTTTGTTTTCAGAAAAAATATATAAATTCCTTAATCAAATATAATATAATGCAGTAAGCAATAGAAAATGACCTATTCTGAATTGTATTCACCATGTTGTTTTATATCTTCTCAGACATCCGAGCTTCCAGGATCACTGCAATCGTCGGCGAATCTACAACAACACAAGCATGCGTTATTATTCCAGATGGAGAATGGCTTCATGTAGAGCTATCAATCGACTATAACAGCTCATCACACGTAATTGCAAAGTTAGATCATAACAAAACATTCGAAAAACCAACCTCTTTAGACAGATTTAACGGTAGCATCAACATGGACGGGGAAGATATTGTTGTCAGATTAACTGTGAACTTAACATTACCGAAATCAGACTTCTGCACATGGGATGGCCGATACTTTACGAAATGCTCAGTAATTATGAACGATACCATGCAAACCAGCAAAAGCAATGGAAGTCAAATTTCAATTACAGGTAATAAATTCTTTCATGTGGTAAGGGATTATAAAGTTGTTGTTAACTTTAGACAAATATTGATTTTTTTCTTCTTAAATATTATGTTTTTTATTATTTTTATTTTATGTACATGTATAGTACTCATTGAAAGTAAAACATTAAGTCAAATACACTTCTACATACCATTAAACTATATAGCTACATTTTGTTAGAATTCTTACAAGTTTTCAAAATAGTATATACCGACAATCGAGTATTTTATACATACATATAGCGGAGTTTTGCGGACAGGACAATTTGAAAAAATGCAATTGCAAAATTTTTTTTCGATATTAATTAGATCTAATGTAAATGCACATTTCTTTCTCAATTTTGGAAAGTGAAGCTCAATTCATCGTTGTTAAAAGCTTGATATAACCTGTAATTGAATCTATTAGGTAACAAATGTATAAAATCTAAGGTAGAAACCCGTATAGTGGGGTTTGAAATATATTTTATTTATAAACATACGTATAGATTAAAATTTCTTTAGAATAATAATGAAATTATTAAGTTTTCTTCTTAAATTATGATTGGTAATATCTAGAAGTCATATCCCTTGCATGATGAATAGATTTTCTAACCTGGATGAGCCAAATAACTACATTTTCACTTGCAGAAAATACACTTTATACTGCAATTTTATCACTGTGAATGTGTACATTTTCCTTTCAAAGAGCATGTACTTTAAAAAAAAAAAAAAAGCATGATTCAATTTTCTTTAATACTTTCAGCCCCAATGGCAAAAGTCAACATAAACCCTGGAGTCGATTATACTGAAGGCGATCTGGTAACATTTAATTGTTCCACTAATATAGACCCAAATTATAGTGAAGTAAGTCTTGAAATAAATTCTTTTGTGATGGACCAATTAATTATGTCACCCATTCCATCGGAAAGAAATTCTGACTGCTCCGTGAATGCTACGTGGTCTGCTAGGTCACCAAATCCTCTGACGACAAACGAAAATGGTGTTGTAATTCGATGCATTGTCAAAAACTCTTTGCTGGATAAAAGCGAGACAATAGAAAAGACACTAAATGTGTCTGCTGTAGGTAAGAAACTACTTTTAACATAAAATATTCAATATAACACGATATTTGATAATGAAGTTAACTTTTCAGGCAAGTTGACAGAAAGTTTTTTTTCGTTATACATAATGATTTTTAAAAGAAAGAAATATGAAATATTTTCATTTTTGTCATGAATATTTTTCATTAAAATGTTTTGCTTATTTTCAGACGTCGCTTTTTCCAAATATTCTTATTCGACGCTGACAAAAGAAGTTCAAGTGATAGAATGCATATCCCGCGGTTCATCCTCAATCTTGCAGAATATGACAATTATTAGAGATAGTGCTGAGATTGTTACTTTGAACGGATCGGGTACACCTATGATTCTCACATCAGAGAATAGATACACAGTGACAAAAGAAAATGATGCCGATGATATAAAGCTCATTTTAAGAATAAAAACAGCTGACTGTGAAGACCAGGGTACATATAGATGCAGTGTTTTAACGACGAAAAATGATTCCAGAAGTTCTCCGCGCATGACCTTCAATGTTTTAGGTAATTTAAAATCTGTAAATATACTTTTACTTCACGTACGTAATCACTAATTTATATAAAAATATATTTTTTAAAGAATTATTTCTTATATAGAAAATATAATTTCTATTGATAGCTTATTAGATGTAGATATATGCAGGCCCTGCCTATAATAAGCATTTGTATTGAGTATACGAGGTTTCAAATACAGTACCACTTTAACAAGTAAAATGTTATTTATCAAGGTTTTCTTACAATATGCTAAATTTATTTGTTTAAGGTGCCACACCTACCTTGACCCTGAATCCTGATATTTATGAAAGGTTTGCAAGGCCAGGCTTAAATCATATTTGTAGGACGACACACACTGGAGACATTCAAAGTGATAAATACCTAGAAATTCAAGTTTATCGTCCAAACGATACATCTGGATTTAGATACTCAAAGAAATTACCGGAATCAGAAAAGGAGTTTAATTCTAAAGACAACATAACATATATTAACATTGCTGGGACTACTGCCCGCTTTCTCCTTGTTTCTGATTTTTCTACGAACAATTCCTGTAACAATACCCAGACCATTGTATTTTTATTGGATCGAGCAATGGAGTTTGACAAAGGAATTGTTAAATGTGTTTTGAGAGATGATAATTTTGAATATGCATCTGCAGCGAAAAACATAACTGTTATTCCAGGTAATTGTCAGTATATAATCTGTTATAATAATCCTTTATGTGCTACCTGTGGACAGACAGGACAAATAAATGATGAGGAAAAGGGAATGTATTGAATGTTTTTGATAAATATTGAAAAAAATAATTAAAAATTTGTTAAACTAGAATTGAGCATTATCTTTTTTTCATGCAGATGAATATTGTTTTGGTTACGAAGATATACCAAAGCGAAATCATCCAAACAACGATTGTCATTACTTCGTGAATTGTGCAGAGGTCGGTGGTCGTATGTATGCAACGGGAGACAGCTGTAGACGTCCCGGTGAATGCATGGACTTCAGTCTTGATTATTGCGTCGACTGTGACGAAAATTTTACCTGTAAAAGTCCTGGTAAGAAAAAGATGTACAAATAACTTTAATAAAATAAAAGAAATCACTGCAATACAACACAAACGTGTTTTATGCATGTAAAAGCTTTTTAACTATTTATTAATAAATAGTAAATAAATTTTATCATATATCCCTAATGTATATTTCTGATTTGCATAAATTTTATTACAGAACCAGTAACAACAACAACTACATTAGCTCCGGGAAAAACATGTAAGGATTCTTTAATCACCCCTTGTAAATATGTTAGGCATTAGAAGAAGCAAAATGTCTTAGATGATTTCAAGAGCTTCTCTTACCTCTTTTTTATGGTCCTTATGTGTCCAGTTTACAATTTAATTAAATTCTTTTAAAATACATGTAGACTTCTGAGGATAATTGTTGTCCGCTACCTAATGATTTGAATCATTACAGATGTACAATGTGCTGATGTCTCCCAGAAAGAAGGTTCACCTATCACAATCAACTGCACAGTCCTCGATGACACATTTCAAAGCCTGAATGTAACTTTGACTTCATCTTCTAATTTAAATATTGAAGAAATTGTGGGCGTTATATTACCTGATGGAACAATTAAAAACCAAGCAAGATCATCCCCAGTTTTAAGTACAACATTCTCTGTGAGTTCTAAATATATTCATTTAATCATTGCTTCATCTTCATGTATGGAGGAAGGAAAATACCTCCTGACAGACACAAACGTCTCCATGGACACACAACCATCGATCTCAGATTTCTACTTTGATAACTTAGGTAAGCCTTACCCCTTTTTTGACACCGGTGAGCAGAGCGCACTTAGGGACCGCTTTACCCGGCGTCTGTCACATCTTGAACTAAAAGAAAAATGTATTTTATATTTTGCACATATATAGCTTGGCACTATGGTTTTTGTATTTTACCATGGTTGCCGACCTAGTTATCCTTTTGTTATAACTTTGACCTTAATTTTGAAAAAAAATTGAGAAATGCAGATATACATTTATAACTTATTTTTGATATTTAAGGGATAAGATGTTAGTGTATGCTAATTAGAATGTACACGTTTGTAATAAAACATTTTGAAAATACCAGCTTTACAGTCCTTGACATTCGAACGACTTTGCGAAATATACTACACATTATAAAATTAAACATGTCTTTTGAATTTAGAGAGACAAGGATTTGATAAGTAGCATTTATACAACGTTTATGAGCTCATGACAATGTACATCACACTGAAAATTTGAAATTCAATAACCACAAATTGAAGATGAAGTACTACTAAAGTACAAATATGGATTGGTGTAGACGTACAATTTCGATAAAGACAAAGTCAAGTCTCTTTCGAACGATTGTTTGAAATCACGTATTAATTGATTGATTGATAAATGATTTATTTATAATATGATTTGTATTTCTATTTGATTGCCCGATTCTAAGGTAGCCTTACTATCCTTAGATTTTTCCATGAACTAAATGCAACTGAGAAACATAAAAATAGTTGACGACTCTTACACTTAATTTCATCTTTAATGAAGCTAAAATCAGGCGACACATGTGTTCCTTGGAAGATTGTAGTTATCTTATGCATTTATTGTCTTATTAAACTATTATTTTTTGATAAGCATTTTGGTTTCTTATTGTTTTTGAATTGCTGAATCATTGAGGTAAATGCTTAAATTACCGAAATCTGTTCGAAGAAGCTATAAACGCCCGAATCCTCTATTATGGGGGCGTAAAAAGTTTTCAAAAACAATCGATCGTGTTCAATATGTTCATCTTTTTCTCAAGACTCCATTATATTGCGTGTTGTCGTTTTGATGTTCAAGTAATTGTATGATATTTCTTTGATACTCTAAACCAGAAATGAATGTATAAAATTTAGTGGTTTGGTATTTTATATCTAACACATATAAAATTTAAACAATCAAGTAGATTTCATAACATTAAAGAAACAGCATTAAAGGAGTCGAATGAGATGCGAATCTTTTGATATAAATGAAACATATCCAGTGTTCAAGTCACACCATACTTAATATTATCTGTATGATTATATTTGGTTGCATTGCAGTTCCTGTGAAAGAGCTTACAATCAATAGTGAATCGATGTACAAGGAAGGGAAGCCATTAATGTTTAACTGCACGGCTACAGTTGATTCCGACCATACCGAACTTCTAGGATACTACAAGCTTCCAGCTGATAATTCATTTGTAAAAGTACAGGGAGAACAAACTATTTTACAAAAATTTACTCAAAACTGTACCAAATCAGTGATATCGATGTTTGATACGGGTTTGATAGTCTCGGCAAATCTAAACGGAACTAAGCTGAAATGTCTGTACAACGAAATTAGCCCAGAAGTCTCTGAAGAAAAAAATGTTAAGATACAGTCGGCAGGTAAATCTGAAACAGAATATATTTAATGTCAGTAGCTTTATTCTATAGATTTGGTTTATTGGTATGTTGGGACGTCGCATGGACAAAGAAGCATAAAACATTTAACTGTAATTAGTATATGAATATTTCCCCTTTATTTATAATTACATTAATATGAGATAAGTAGTGATATTTTGAAACTAACAGCATATTTTTTTCAGACGTTGCCTTTAATACGTATAAACTAAAAGCAGAATTACAAAGTAAAGCAAACTTTACCTGTCTCGTAAGGAGTACTGGGTCTTATAAAGCAATAAAGATCTTGAAAATAATCAACAGCACATCAATGATGGAAATGGCTTCATATACATCATCATCTGATTCAGTACAAAATATAGCCGGGGTTGATGCAAATTTCAGCAGCAATGCTCTAACCTTGATATTTGCCTCAGTAATGTGCTCTGACGAAGGGCAATATAATTGCACTGTGATCATGGATGATGATGCGGAACTTCAGCCCCCACTTTCCCTTGATGTTCAAGTAACAAGTATGTTGGGCTTATTTTATTTATTTTAATTTTCTTTTTACACGAATATTTAAAATCCAATTGCTTATACAGTTATTATTTTATAATAACTCTGATAATTTTTAAAGCATCACCAGGCTTCTCAACGGTCGAATTGTTTGTGAACCCAGACATTGTTGAAAATAAGGATTCTGGAACTCATCATTGCCTTGGTCCTGTTGGGTACCCGGAAGTTGGAGGTCATTTAGAGATTACCTTTGTCCATCCTTTAATAAACTATAATATAACGCTTAATAAAAATAGCTCAAGGACTATTTTGGGCAACGAAATAAAAATTAAAAGCACTTTGGAACCTTTTACTAAAGATGAGTGCAAAAATATGGAAAAGATTTCTTTCACAATAAATTCTACAAAGAACTGGAACAAAGGAAAAATAATCTGTGAAGTTAAAAATGGAGAACATAAGGCAACCAAAGACGATATTTTCTTTGTTATTGATGGTAAAGATTGATACATTTTGTGGTTTAAAAACGGTTCGGTACGCTTGTCAGTATATAATCAAATCTTCATTGTATTGAACATGCAGTGAAGTAAGAAAAACTTTGAAAGATAATAGCAAGAGATATGATGTGAATATGAGTATGATTTGATAAGAAAATGCAAAGTATATAACATAATTTCAATCTTGCACATGTGTTACAAAAAGAGAAAAGTATTTGACTATTTATTCGAATATATTTTTAGGATCATTCTGCAATTCTACGAACAACCAAGAAATTTATTTTGACCATGAAAAAGAGGACTTTTGTAACACCTATATACAATGCAGTGGAGGGAAACCTTTTGGAAGATCTTGTAAGCCAAACCGGTGTGTGTACATTGGTAAAACGTATTGTGAAGACTGTTCCACTGCTGTATGTTCAGAAGGAGTTACAACTACAGGTAATATGTATTTCCACTTTTAAATACAGAGAAAAGTTAACGTATAGAAATACACTTTTTCGTTATTAAAATTATACACAGTAACAAAATAGCTATTACTTACATGTAAATTAACTTACTTCAGGGCTATTATTCTTGTATCAAAGACTTTAAGACTTTCTTCATTCATTACAAGGCTATTTCTCATCACAATTTGATTTTCCTATTATTTAGAAGTCACATTATCAAGTTTTGAAACAACACCAGTACCTGGTCCTCGTTGTAAGTTTGTAATTCTAATTATTTTTTTTAAAGATAAGAATTCATGTAATGTATGCTTTAAAAGGATTATATTACAAAAATCAGATTGTTTTACACATTCATATCAATGTCAAGTTTTCTGGTTTTCTTAACGGTTTCTTATTTTTATTTATATTCATTTCTTTCCTCGCTTTAGACTGATAGTTTAAGTTAGAAATATACTTTGATAAATATAATTAAAGAGATTTGGAATTGTCGATAATTCAATGTATATTTTCTTTTGTAGCTCTTCATTGTACATCACCGTCTGTATATGAAGGAGAAAGTGCAACGATTCCATGTTCACTGAACGTTTCCTCCTTTGATTTTATATCTATATCTAATGACAAAGGAATGATAATGTCAATATTTGAAAATACAACAGTTATTTATTTCGGCGATTCTTCTTCTACATTTCAAGGTTCTTTAACTGGAAAAACTGTGATTTTTATTGTTAAAAACCTGAACTGTAATAACTCTTTAGATTATGTATTTAAACTTTACAACGGAGGAGAAGTTTCAAGTTCTGTTACAGCAAATCCTCTGATGAAAGGTTAGTTAACTCTTTCTCTCCCCCTCCCTTTTATATTCTTATTTGATTTATCATTCATTGTACAATTTGTTACTTTTTAGTTAAACCAATAACACCCGTCCTAAACATTGACTACAGGTTAGAGATGGGTAAAAACCAGAATTTTCACACTTGCAAAGGTTATGTTGGAAATCCTAAAGGATCCCTTGAGTTGGAGATAAGGAATGGTTCACTAGCAACATACAACAAATACATTCCCACCACTCAATCTTTCGACACGCCGGTTTATGAAAACTGCAATCATTATTTGACTCTAACGTTTTCCATAGACCTAACAAAAGACAGTTTGACTGGTCAGCATATAAGATGTCTGGCTAAAAATATCGAGAGTTTGGAAAACACAGATCCTATTCCAACGTCAAATGAAGTTCTAATTATTCCTCTTCCAGGTAAATCTTATAACACTACAGTATATATTCTATAAAATGACAATGCATTCTATGAAAGGACTTTGAAATGCAAGTTAAACAATTAGAAATAATTATTTTTCAAGTATACTCCTTATAGATGATTTTACGTTTAATTTGTTGAATTGATTCCTTTTGATAATTCCACAAACAATCTAGATACTAAGAATGCCTTATACCCCTTAACATATCAAGACGTTTAGTTCTTTTTCATGAGTTCTCAATGTGATAGGGGATAGCAAGCAGAAATCTAATGTCATGTTCACCATATTTCTACCCAACTTTGATATTCTATGGATAGGAACAACCTTAGATGGGATTCGAATTCTGAAAATTAATGAATGTTTTAAAGAGTACAAATGTATATACATGTATATAGATTTTTTTTTTCATTTTAGCAAATCCTTGTAGCAAAGGTAATGGTGATTATCCACATCCAAGAGACTGTTATCATTATCTCCAATGTTCAAATAATATTGCATATACTCAGATCTGCCCTGGTGGGGGCTGTTTTAATGACACAGCTAAAGCTTGTTTATAAAATGTATGCCATAGAAAGTGGGTTTTTTTTCAGATTAAATTGCAAAATATTCAATTAAAAAAAGACATTATCAGTGTATTATGCTACTGTTAAAATAAAATTGAGAAATATCCCACACTCTTTTTGATTGCAAAGATTGTATAGTGTATAAAAGTGCAAGATAACAAACAGGAACAACCTTGAAAATCCAGTAAACAAACAAAAAATGACAAACAGGGATAAAATACGAAACCTTGTCCTGTCGACTGATCATTTCAGCCGTGAGCCCCCAGTATTGATCATATACTCAGTAGACGTATAGTTTGATTTTATTACATTTTGAACTGTGAAATACTGTAGTTTATTCATTGAGTAAAAATAATTATATTCTGTCACAGAGTGAAAGGATATCAAAATGATATCCTATCACAGTTTGACAAATATCAGAAGTACGGTATTACTTTTGATTTTCCTTCCCAGTAAGGGGGGGGGGGGGGGGTGTTGTAAAAATTATACCTTGGTCTGTTAAAAGAAAGCTAAAACAAGTAAAGAAAACAAAGAATAAAACTTTCAAAGTTCAACAAATACTTTGCTAAAATTCTTGTTTACAATGCTTTCAATCTCACATCACTTAGCTATGACGTCTCAACCACTCAACTTTGACATCATGTAGCCCATGAATGTATAACAAAAAGACAAAGGCAAATGGAAAATCAAAGAATATGTAATAAACACAAAATACAATGTTTTGTCGTTGAATATGAAAGTTATTTCACGAGTGGGACAGGATTTTTTTTAATATTTTTACTCGTGCTTTGAACTCGTGAAAATATATTTTTAAAAAAATCCTGTCCCACTCGTGAAATAAATTCCATATTCAACATTGAATATCCTTTTAATATAATCCGAAGTCCAATTTCGTTTTAAAATAATGTCCTAACAAATGGATGGAAGCATGTCAGATAAAAACGACCAAACAATCTTGTATTTTCAAACACGTTATTTTAACTAACGTAAAAATTGCGAATTACAAAAAACTGATTTTGAACAGGGTTGCTGAAATCCCTGCAACAACATGCAACAGTCTGTAGACCGCCTCGACTGAAAATCATATTCAGAGCATATCGCTGTATGCAGAACCAGACGCACTAGCCTGGAGATCGACACAACCACCATAATTATGTATTATGGTACTTTATAACCGTTACTTTCACAAAGGAAATCGACGATGGAAAGCCTGAAGTCATCCTGTCTGTTAAACAATGTAGTTATTTGTTGGCCCTTACTATCTATAGTGATTAAAACTTACATTTATGAAGCATATTTTACATGTTGCAAACTCCATAGTGTATTATGTCGAGTTAAATGACATAAACCACATCGACGTACGGAAAAAAAAACTAATGTTAATTGATGAAACGTCCTCAGTTTTTATGAATGTCAAATTAAGGCCAAACAAGTGTTTTTCTTCTTTTAAGGTAGGTCCCTACTCGTGGAATTAATTGGTTAACACTGCAATTTTTGTTCTGATTTACATTAACGAGGCCCGATCTACTTGATCTGCGCATACGTTTTAACGCAGCGTCGACTCAGGCACGTCACAATACCCTTGACTGCCGTCACAATTGAACATAATGACGTCACAATTAAAATGACGTCAAATTGCGCTAAAATGTTTCGCTGATCTTGCTTACCTGGTAGCTCTATAGACTATGCATTGAAAGCTGGCATTTCTATTATTTTTTTTTTAAATATTTAAATTAATAAACAACTTTGGAACCTAATTTATTTTGAGGGATCAATTTTTTGGTACAGTTTCATTAATTTTATCCTGTTTTATTTCAATTTGTGAGTTAAAAAAAAACAAACACTGCAACTAAAAGTAAACGATTTTAGTCTTTCTCTCTGAACATGTTGAAGTGTTTATACACACTCTTTTTTTTGCGGACTTAAATATGCATGGATTATCTTCAGATTTAAAAAATAAAATAAGTCTATAAATCATTTAAATTAAACCCCCGAAATCTTTTATTTTTCTATATATTACATGATATTAGTGAAAATCGCAATTTTGTCGCCTCCCCCCCCCCCCTCTACCCCTTTTTTCCACGTAAAACAACGCGTGTTGAGAGAAAAATAAAGCATGGCGAGAAAATTATTTCATAATGTAGGAAATTTTTATTTTTTAGAAACTAATACAGTATCACAATCGTTTGTTGGTGTTATGTAAACCCATTGCGACATATAAAATACGTAGTTGGATAGAATAAATCCAAATTTTGTGTTTTGACATGCCCCATTTTCACTGCAATAAAGGCTACCTCCAATTTTCTTTTCATTTTTTATAAGAAGAATGAAAATTGCATGATATATGTGAAAAACAAGGAATTTCATCATGTATTTTTTTTTATTTGTAAATTTCTTTGTTTATTGAAGAGTTTTAGTATGTAATTGTGTATAAAAACACGACAAATGGTCCATATCTTGACAGTGCCCCCATTTCACTACAATAAAGGCAAGGTAACAAAATTTCATTCTAATTTTTCTAAGCATAAAACATACAAGTATATTTCCAAGAATTAAAATTTTTTATCATTCCGTTTTCGTAATTTTCAACTAGATCGGGCCTCGTTATGAGAAACTTTATCTACTCCAAATGCACAAAAAAGTTTAAAGATAATCTATATTTTTACTGAGAAAGGGTGTGAAACACTCCTGTATCCTCTTGTACCAAAAACAAAATCACGACTATTATAAAGACGGTCTACATTTTATGTCATTGCACATGGCAAATAAATTCTTTTGAACATAAATCACAAGGATAAGGATAAATAATGAATAATATCAGGTTGCGGTACACATTACTGGTTGAAACTTAAAAAATATTGAAGAATTAATCTCATTTTACTAATAAAAGTAACAAAGCTCAAAATTCAAATAAAGCTCTCAACTAGAATAATTAATTTGTTTACTATGATTTTTTTGTCTTTGTTTATGGCAACCGATGCTTGAAGTATCTTTTAGTCATGATAAATGTATTGGTCATCTGTCTTTTCACCGAGATATGGGGTAAAACAAACAGGTACCCCAATCGCAGTTTAATAGCTCAAGCCTTTTATGTCAACAAAAATATTTATAAATCAGCTAAAAAGTGAAATATTCTTTTTAAGAAAAATTTTATCCAAATTTGTACACCCTTTCCTAATCATAAACATAAACTTTATTCTCAATTTAATTCTGAATATTTTATATACAAGGGGGAGCATGTCCACTACTAATGATGCGACTTCTCTGGATGCCTATTACTACTTACAAAAGATTATAAGCAAGATATACAATGTCTTGCAAGCAAAATTATGTCTAAAATTTCATATACAACATTAGTAGCATGTATCGATTTTCTTTTTATTACAACTGAGTACCTTTATTCGTATGTAGAAAATTTGCCGTCAAAACGAAATTAAGAAAATCCCATCTGCATAGCATATCAATTGTGCACAAATAAAAACAATGAACGAAAAGTATTTATTTAATGACATAAGAGCAAATTATTTGCTACGTTTTCTGTAAATAGGTATCAGAGTTGTACCAATGCAGTCATAGACGTATAGTATCAATATAACCTCCTAGGTAAAATATTTCTGAAATGTCTGGCATTCGACCTCACACCTGTGTTTTAAATCGATTCAATTTTCTGCTACATACTGTATATATCTCAATCCTTGCACAAAAATACCCCCAATCATCTTTATACATCCCTCCGACACTTCTGTAGACATTGTTTATATTCTTGCTAATGTTAATTGTACCATAATTTTAAAACCGAAAACGGCTAAATCCGGCTTCCAGTTTACCACGAGTAGGCCCCTACTTTAATGTAGAAGCCTTTGAAAATAGTAGTCGCCCGCGTGGCGCAGTGGTTAGAGCGTCTGCACTAGAGTCGCAAAGTTAGGAGTCAAACCTTATGTCGCGGGTTCGAATCCCACTGTGGGACGTGGAGACCGTATAAACCGAGGTCCCCTGTCGCAGTAGGTGCTGGCACGAAAAGGATCCCTCCCTGCTCAATGGCCCTGAGTGCCGAGCATAGGACAAAATTTGCAGCTCTCCACAGGCAAGTGGTGGCGTCTCCATATGAGTGAAAAATTCTCATGAGGGACGTTAAACAACATACATGTACAAGCAAGCAAGCAATCAATCAATCATCTTTGAAAATATTAAGGTTGTAATATTCCGCCACCTGCATGTGGGGTTTATATCTCAAATATCAATCGATATTCAAGTGTATTGTCTTTTTACACTAATTAAGGTAGGCTACTGACAGATGAGTTGATGTTACCGGGATTTCAACAACCAACCTCCTTTAAAGTCAGCATTTTGTAAATTCGATGGTCTTGTAATGAACTTGTCAGCACATATGTTCTATAACTATGTCGGATATTGGTTGAGGTTTTACATACCAATAGTTGTGGCTTTGCTATTTACTAAATTTGATCAGGGAATATTCTGTCTACCTGTCAACAAAGGATGCTTATTCCTTCTAGGTTTATTATGTGTAAAAAGAAGAAAACACTTGTTGTCTGGCATTGTCAATTAACAATTGAAATTTCCATTCTGATCCTGAATAGCTTAAGATAAAAGATACCAAAGAGTCTGACACATCTGTTTCATATTTGGATATTTTATTTGGAAAAAACGTCAATGGTAATCAAACAACCAAGCTCTATGGTAAACGTGATGATTTTAATTTTTCTATCGTCATCTTCCCTTACTCATGCAGCAATATACCTATATCACCTGCATATATGGAGTTTATGTATCTCACTTGATTCGATACACAAGAGCATGCTCTACGTATGAACAATTTCTAAAACGAGGTAAATTATTGACAAAAATATTGATAAACCAAGAATATCAGCAGTCTCATTTAAAGTCATTACTTCGTAGGTTCTATGCTCGATACAATGACATTGCCAGCAAATACAAATAATCATTGAGTCAAATGCTGACTGACGTTTTCATATTTATTGTCAGTCCATTATTTACACATTGAATTGACGACGAATTTCTTTGTTATTTCCCGACCATGACAAGGAGCACACCGCGGGTGTGACCCGTCGACAGGGGATGCTCACTCCTCCATGGCATCTGATCCCACTTCTGATGTTTTGGAGGTCCACGTTTGCACTGCTCCTATTTGGTATTGTTTTATGGACTCTGACCTTGAATACTCTTCGTTATCTCCATAAGTTTCATTTCTTAAACCGACCCTTGCTCGTTATTGTCATCTTTTTCATTAACATCGGAATTCCAACAGCTTTGTCTCCAAAGACTACAAAGATGTTGTCCCTGAATAAATTCAGCATCATTTTCATGTTTAGTAATCAACTTAAAAGTACTACATGTAGTAAAATCAAAATGATCTTTACCGAAGTTATTTCGTAGATGGCCAATCGTAAGATATGAAAATTTTGGTTTATTATACCCGCACTTTCTAAAGAAAGTTCGGGTATATTGTTGTTACTCATGTCCGTCCGTCCGTCCGTCTGTCACACTTTTCTTCCCTGAACTCCTCTTACATTTTACACAGTAGGCTAATCATCTTTTGGGAGATGGTTGGTGGTGTCATGTAGATGTGCAGTAAGGTTTCGGAATTTTGATTTTGCCCCGGGGGGTCAAATGGGGGTAGAAAAATGACGTTTTTTATACAAAAAGCCCCGTCTTCCCTGAACTCCTCTTACATTTTACACAGTAGGCTAATCATCTTTTGGGAGATGGTTGATGGTGTCATGTAGATGTGCAGTAAGGTTTCGGAATTTTGATTTTGCCCCGGGGGGTCAAATGGGGGTCGAAAAATGATGTTTTTTTATGCAAAAAGCCCCGTCTTCCCTGAACTCCTCTTACATTTTACACAGTAGGCTAATCATCTTTTGGGAGATGGTTGGTGGTGTCATGTAGATGTGCAGTAAGGTTTCGGAATTTTGATTTTGCCCCTGGGGGTCAAATGGAGGTTGAAAAATGATGTTTTTTATGCAAAAAGCCCTGTCTTCCCTGAACTCCTCTTACATTTTACACAGTAGGCTAATCATCTTTTGGGAGGTGGTTGGTGGTGTCATGTAGATGTGCAGTAAGGTTTCGGAATGTTGATTTTGCCACTGGGGGACTAATGGGGGTCGAAAAATGATGTTTTAAAAATGTCTTAAATCATTTCTTTAAAACTAAGCGAAATACAAATTAAAAAGGATGGAGGTCAAGGTCACAGGAATGTGCAAGGTGAAGTTTTTGATGCAGGTGAGTAGCTTCACTAATACATATCAGCATATTATGTTTGATAAAAATATCTTGAATGATTTAATGAAGCTGAGCTTAACACCTTTTCTAAAAAAAAGAGAGGTCAAAGGAAAGGTTGGGGCCAAAATGTTGTAGCAGTTGAAAAGCTTACATCACCATGAATTTACTATTAGCATATGAAGTTTGATAAAACTATAATTAATGGTTTATTTAAAACTTAGATAAACACATAATTTAAAAAGTGAGGTCAAGGTCAAAGGAAAATTCAAGGTCAAAATGAGTTGATGTATTAATAGCTCTCAGCAGTATGTATCAGCATATGAAGTTTGACAAATATATCTTGAATTGTGTATTCAAAACTGATCTAGACATTAATTTTAGAAAAGTGAGGTCAAGGTCACAGGAATGGTCAAGGTAAAAAAGAGTGAAGCATTGTAAAGCTTACATCAGTATGTATCATCATGTGAAGTTTCATTACACAACTTCAACGGTTTCTTTAAAATAAAGCTAAACACTAATTTTAAGAAAAGTTAAGTGAAGGTCAAAGGAAAAGTCAAAGTCAAAAAATATTGCTGCAGTTGGATATTTACATCAGTATGCATCAACATATGAACTTTGATAAAAATATCTAGAAAGTTTCTTTGAGCCCGATGGAAAGACAGATGGAAGGGTGGAGGACGGACATGACAAAAACTATACATGTATGTATTCCTAATCATGGTGTGGCATAAAAAACTTGAATCTACATTATATGAGGATGTTTCCATCTATCAAGATTATACAAGCAAATTCAAAGAATTGTGGTCCTCTGCTTTCTGTGTTTTAGTGAATGGGATGCCATAATTTATGGCAGATTGTGTGTCAAATATGCACCCCTATCATATATCAATTTTTGAAAATTGGGTCAAAGGGGAAAAATCATAACATGCTCTGAAACATTTTGTTGCAGGTAATGTACATGTCAAATATGAAAGTCCTATCTCTTTTGAATCAAAAGTTATATATACAATATAATATTTTTGAAAAGTAGGTTAAACTTCTAGGTCAAGGTCACAGAGTCAAAAGTCAAGATATATTTAGAAAAGTCTTTTCACATGTAATAAACATGTATAATTTGAATGCCCTTTCTTTTCTCTTTCAAAATGATCAATTTAAAATGTTATTTTTTGGAAAGTGGGTAAAACTTTAAGGTCAAGGTCTCACTTCGGTTAAAAAATCATAGTATATTTAGAAAGTTTTGTGGTAATGTACATGTGAAATATGAAAGCACAATCTCTTATTATTCAAAAGTTATGATCAAGGTTAAATTTATTGTGACAGATGCACATACTAGCTGTAAATAAGATGGACAGACTGACAGACAAATGAGATTTAATGTCCCCTCCCTTTCCCCAAAATGGGTGACAATAATGCCCTTGCTGTTCTTGAGAAGAAGATTTATGATGGAAAAAATCCCCTGCATATTTCTTAACGCAAATCAATTTTGTGTTTTTATGTCATTTTGTTTGTTGTTAAACATCCCTCTCAGGTATTTTTCACTCATATGCAGAGCTGCCAACATTCTGAAATTACAAATAGTAAGGCGGGGTCTAGGGACCACCTAGGCCGCCTGTCGCTGGAGATGTTTTGTCAATGGACATGTAATCTGAGGCATGTTTCCATTTTGTTTACTTTAAAAAATTGACATAAATGTGATCGGCCTTCTAGAATCGAAACGATGATCCAAGCAAGCGTTGTAAGAATTATGAATATATTACAATAGTAGAAACTATAGACTGCCAGCTATGAAAATACCGGTATTATAAACTTTGAACGAGAAAAACTGAAATCGGAAGAATATAGAGAGAAATCGTAAGGCGTATTTTAGACACTGATTTCGTACGCCTTACGCCAAAATCGTAAGGGTTGGCAGGGGCCCACTCGATTGGGACCCTTCTTATTCCGGAATAATCATTCTGTCCGCTCGATTGGTTCGGAAGGTTAGACTAAGAAGGCCTTCCCAGCCTCCCGCGTTAGAGAGGGAAGGTTTATTTAGACGAAGCATTCCGGTATGGCGGCGAACAGGTGGGTGAAAACTCTGTAAACTTTTTTTATTGTAAATAAACCAAATTAGAAGCAAAATAAAGTTGCAAAAAGTATTTGTGATAATGTTTGAAGGATAATTTCTCTTAAGTGGCATTTTTTTCTGTTGTGTAGTAACAATCAAGAAGCATTGGGAACAAACACAGTATCATTCACAGCGGACGATGGAAAAAATGTTCTTTTACAACTGGATGATAAGACTCTCGAGAACCTTCAGAATAATGGTAAATATTGTGTCCATCATTAAAATCAAGTTAGAAGAACTTTTCTATCCGTAAATTCCGTTTGAAAATGTCTAATTATATTAATTTCTTTTGTGTTTATAATGTGAATGCTGTTTTTATTTTTAGATCCCAATACAATTGAGTTCGTATTAAATTTAGTAGCAGAACAGGAACAAGAAGAATCCGAGGAAAACGAAATTGGTATGTATGTTGTAGATATATTATATAATATGTAAATATAATAGGTACAAAACAATGAAAATTGACATTTTTTAAAAAACCTTTTTTAAATGTAATTTAATATTATAAAAATAAATATTTCTTTGATCATAATTACAATCAATTTCAAATATGGATAAAGTATAGGCCATGCTGCCAAGGAAGTAGCGTTTTATTACTACATTTCATAAGCTAAACAGTGACAACTTACATGTATTCCTCTTAATCTGTGAAATAAGTTCTCCAGTGTTGTTATAATACTACCGGTATATATGATTGAGCACTACTGAATTATGTGTTGCTAAGTTTCTCTAATTTTCTTCAATTTTGTAGAGGATCCAAAACCTAGTGGAGAGGCTATCACTCCAACTAATTCCTGGACCAAAGAGAGATCAAAAGTTCTTCTACATGAATATAGAGAGAGATATTTGCAATTCAATAGCCCAACACAGAAGAAGAAAACTTTATGGAGGGAGATTTGCCAAGTGATCAATACAGAAACAAAATCCACATTCACCAGCCAGCAAGTCGAAGGAAGATTCAAAACAATGCTTTCGTCGTACAGAAAGTACAAGGATGCAAAGAAAAGAACAGGCACTGAGCGAAAGGAATACGAATTTGCCTCCGAAATGGATGATATCTTTGGAAATTCGCACTCTACAACCCCAGCTTTTGTTGTTGAAAGTAGTTCAACAAGTACCTCTACAGCTACAACCCACAGGAGCAGAGCTAAAGAACCAAGTCCTAGTACAAGTAGTAGCAGTGAAAGTGTGACCAATACTGAATCAGAATCAAGTAAAGACAATGAAAAACAAATTAATGAAGGGAAGGCAGGGAGAAGAAAAAGGAAACATCATCCCACAACAGGTGCATCTCAGTTGATAGATTTCTTAAAATGCTATACAGAGAAACGGGAAGAAGAGGACAGAAAGAAAGAGGAAGAGGAGAAACGACGAACAGAAACCATGCATAAAGAGCACATGAAAATGCTCTCAGGGCTAACCAATATTATCGGCAAACTTGCAGATGTAGCTGCAGCTGCAAAGAAATAGAAATACATATCTGTAATAAGAGGGACATTTTAAGTTGACAATGTCAATTATTTTACTTTTCAAATTTCAAAGTTTTTGTTTACACAATGGTGCAAATATCAAGGTTTTGATATTACGTTATAATCAGTTTGAACTGTATTGAGTACATATTTCAAAGCAAAAAATGTAGGCATTGTACTTATCAGTTTGTCTGACCTTTGTTATTATTTATGCAACAAGGAATGTGTTACATACTTTTTATTTTTACATTGTTTTGTTACTATTTTGTTACTTTTTCAAAGAAAATATAAATTGTTTTAAAACAATCTTTGTTATGCCAATTATTCTTTGTGACCTTGACCTCTGACTTAAAAAAAATCTTAAAGTTGGCCTTTTTTCTCCCAGGCTTTGCATGTGAATTCTGAAAGACCAAGCATCAGTCATCAGGAGAGTTGAAGGACAGTTAGACAATTATGTAGACAAATATATAACATCAAATATAGAATATTGAAAAAAATAATAAGATTTTCTGTCTTTGGAACATTTATTCATACAAATTGACAAGGGCATAAATGTTTTCTGCAATATAACATATTTTAATCTTGTATTTGCTTAACACATAGGAATATAATGATGCATGTATACAAAAAACTGTTAAAGTCATGGCTGGGCATTTGAAAGTTGTCTGGTTAGGAACAGCCGTTTCAAGTTACCTTCAGCAGTGTCTGTAGTAACTTCAGCAAAAACTTGTTCATCTACCTCTGTTTCAAAGTTTTCACCAAGCTCATCATGATTGATGATACAAATATTATGCAACACACATGCGGCAACAACAGTTTTCACAATGTATTCTATATCAACCATGTTAATGTGTTGCAGGCGCCTAAATCTTCCTTTTAATACACCAAAAGCATGTTCAATGATGGCCCTGGCTCTGCAAAGTGTTTTGTTGAACATCTTTTCAGCTGCTGTCATATTCTGACTTTCCCGGTATGGTTTCATCAAGTATGATGAGAGTGGATATGCTCCATCTCCTACAAGATGATGTGGTCCACATAGCTGTGCCTGGTGTTGAAAAACTTCAGAGTTCCTGAAGACCCTGGCATCATTGACACGCCCAGGCCATCCACAGTTAATATCTATAAATAGTCGGTCGTGTCGACAAACAGCTTGTAGGATAATTGAATGAAAACTTTTTCGATTCACGTAATCGGCCTCATTTTCACCTGGCGGTGTTATGGATATGTGAGTTCCATCAATTGCCCCAATGACTCCCGGAAACCCACTGAAATCCTCAAATTCTGACATAATTTCTTGTTTTTCTTCATTGTTTGGCCACTTTACAAATTTCTTGCACAAATCACTAAACACATCTATGAGTCTTCTATTATGAAGTATCAATGTGGATTCTTGCACATCAAATCTATCCGAGATCGACCGAACAGTTTCCTGCGTACCTAAGTACCAAAGCAGCATCATGAGGTCTTTTTCTAGAGTTGTTTGTAACCTTCCGCCTGTCAGCTGTCTTCTTTGTAGAGTTGGAAAATTTGCCAAATGATTTAAAATACATTCAAATGTCTCCCTTGATAATCTGAAATGTCTTTTGAACTGTTCAGGCAAATACCCTGGAATAATTCTTTCGACATAACCATCTATTTTGCTAATATCATCTCTTACTCTGCAAAAATAAGCATAAAACCCTTATAATGAATTGAAAATATATAATATTTTCATGACTAACTTTTTTAAGAAAAAAAAAATATTTTTTTCAGTTGAATGTTCTTCAATATATATATTCTCCACTCTTAGTATTTAGGATTTAATTAAAAAAATTATTATAATAATCAGTGTACTTACACAGCTGAGCTTGCAATGCATGTAAGAAAAACAAAGTCATCTCTTCGCCTTTTAGACCTGACATTTAATGATTTAAGGGATTCAAGTTCTAAAACAGACACAGCTGCAGTAATTGCAGAACATAGCAACTTATTACATTCAGCCATATCCTATACCCATCTGAACACTCGATTGAGACATATATATTCCAACCCTTCTGACATTCCCTTCTGCTTCTAGAAGGGTCCCAATCGAGTGGGCCCCAGCTCTGCATATGGAGACACCACCACTTGAAAAATAATGAGGACAAGTTAGATTTGAGGTCAACATTCATTTTAGGAGTTTTCAACCATTAAGACGTATATAAAGAAATATTAACTTGATCCTTCCCCTCACCCCTTCCCAGACCCCTGTTCAATGTTCATGTATGCAAACTACTACTTGTTTTTACATTTAAAAAAAATGTTTATACAAATAGTTTAATGTGGTCCGTCTCTGAATGATTTTCATTCCTAATTCTAGGAAGATAGGTTGACACAAATTCATGAATAAAATGTAAAGTAATCTTATCATTGATGCACTTTTATTCAATTTAATGCAGTCATATTGTGAACATTTCAGCTCATTAGGAGAGTGGGGATGACCTCTAGGGGTTCATAACCTTTATACAATTAAATTTACATAACATAATAACACAAGAAACAAAATTATATATAATGAAATGGAAAAAGTTTCCTACTATTTAGGAGTCACATGATCATTTGTCATTACAGGGACAGGGAAGTGGATTGGGAGACCCCCCCCCCTCAACACCCCCCCCCCCTGGAATTTGCAGGACTATAATATATACTGGAGGAAATAAAAATGACTTTGGATGCCCTAAGTGTCCCTCCACCCTAGAAAACAGACCCAACCATAACTTCTTTTTTTTTTTTTTTTTGCTTCTCAGGAAATTCTGGTCTAGCCTGGTCCCCTGTCTCATCCTTGCCAAGGCACGAGAGCCAGGTGGATTCCATTGTACTCCACCTGGCCCTAGTGACGCGGAGTTTATAAAGCAAAACAGGGATAGGGAACCAGGCTAATTCTGGTCTGGAACCCCCTCCCCCACCTCCCTCCCAGAAAAAAAAATTCTGGATCTTGTAACTGAATGTAACGTTGATAACGGGGGATAACTCTTCAGAATGTGAAATTCGTCTATTGTAAGTTTAAAGGATCAAAGGTCACCCGATGCTGAACCTAACCGTTTGCATTTCAGACTATTTTACCCAAATCTATACCAAAACTTGTACTTACCGATTGTCATTATTTAGGCACTGTTATCTTCATGAAATATAATCCAGTTAAAACACAAAATAAAATAATTCCTACTGACATATTATGCAATGATGCACACTAGTAGCCTACTGCACGTGCAGTGAAATCTAAAATGATAATGCCAGTGGTAAAACTAGTACTTAAGTTTGGTACGTGACGCAAGCCCAATGTGACGCAGGTGTTCAGATACATGTATAGTGCAAGAACAAATTGAAAATTATCATTTACAAAAGATGTTTTATTTTAACTTTGCCATCTAGGCCTATTTCCAAAAACAGGCAAATAAGGTGTGTTTGTGTGTGTGTGTGTTGATGGGAGAGGGGTCGGGGTTGACTAAATTGATTGTGTATATGGCAGCTTTCAAGAAGTTTCTGCCTAATCAAATATAAATAAACTTTGCACATATTGAAAAAATCATCAAAAACGCTTTATACTAATTTGAATAATATTATTTGTTGTTAATCTATATGAGAAAATAGATTTAAAAAGTTCCAATTATGTGCCACCCCCCCCCCCTTTATCAAACCTAATTTACATCTTTAATTTAATTCTGTTGTTTAATTTCCGACTGGTAATGAATTAAGAATATGAAATACCTATAAGATGGAGGCCCATGGATCACATGGTCACTAGCTGCAGATCTGTATAGCGTTATGGTTTTATATATTAGTCTTTGACCATAAAGCTACAGATCCTGTAATGCAAAAAAGGTGCAATTTACGGTGCAATATTTTTTTTTGCGCACTTCTGGGGAGAATTTCTCCACTTTCCAGCATCGGTCAATTTACTACTTTTCACCCCCTAATTCTAGGCACATTATTTAACTAATCTGTATATTTTATCCATCTCCAATCCTTTTATAGTCGTCTCTACACGAGATAAACTCGCTTGATTAAAATTATTTGTTAGATCGCATAAAATTCACATCAAGCGAGTTTATTGCCTGTAGAGATGACTATGAATGGCTGAGAGGTGGACAAAATATACATTTTGACTACAGAATGTGTCTAAAATTAGGGAGTGAAAGGTAGTTGATTGACCAATGCTAGAAAGTGGAGAAATTCTGCCCAAAAGTGCGCAAAAAATATTGCGCCGTAAATTGCACCTTTTTTGCATATGGGAATCTGTAGCATTATGGTCAAAGACAAATATGTAAAACCACAACGCTGCAGATCTGCAGCTACATGGTCACCTGAGCATATTATGCTCAATTTGAAGAATACATGTATTATGTAAATTATTGAATTATATTGACTTTTTCCGTGGTAAAGCCCAATATGAAGAAGTGTGCATTTAGAGGCAAACACCTTAGTGCGGGTATTACTGTCTCATGACAGCATCTAGTTTACGAAGCAGTTGTCTGTGATTTCAAACTACCTGCTCATTTTGTGAATGATGAATGCATAAGACGTAGAGAAGCCATAGATTGTGATACTATTAAATTTATTAATGTTTGAAAGGTTTTGAGATTTCAAAATTTCAAACATTCTTTAGAATACTAGTAGAGTAGAATTTTTGATAGTATCTACGTTCCAATAACCCCACTACTTAATTTTACAGCACTTAATTTATATACACGTATTTTAGTCAAGACTTCAGATAGGGACTTGGTTGATTATATACAGGACCATGCTATAAGTATTTCTTTGTAAGGATTTTATGAAGTTTTGGGATGCAGTCTAGGCAAGGTACATCAAAATAAAAGTTGACTGGAATGTTCAATTTTTTTAAAAATTGAAGGTGATTTTGAATAGGTTTATCTTTTGAAATTTAAGTATGAAAATAATTAAGCTCAATTACTAGATGTGGAATAAAATCTTTCTTCTAATATGCAGGTGTAATAATGAAAATTACAAAGAAATACTTTTTAAAAAGCCTTTTGAACAGCTTAAACCAAATCATGTCTTTTCATATAGTTTTTCAAATATTTTCATAACTTCCCATCTACTAAAAACGGAAGGAAATATCTTCAATCAGGATTCATCCATTCTGAAAGAGTGTTACAATCTTCTCCGTAATATCAAGAACATCAGCATGCCCCAAGAATAACAGAAATGAAGACACGTCAACATTTGAAAAATCTGGAAAATATAAGAAACCTGAAAATTGAGGGTTTAATTCAGGTTATAAATTACTACTCATATATGACTATGTTCTCTGACTTTGTTGTTAAATTCACTAATTTAAATTTTTGATATAAGGTTCAGAAGTTTGGTATATCCATACAATTATATTTTAGGCCTCTAATGGTTTTTTGTTTTAAATTATCATTTTTGGTTTATAC